TGAGATATGCATGGAAGTGATGTGGATGAGAAATGCATGGAAGTGATGTGGATGCGGGGAGGCTGGCTCGGAACCTCTTGAACTCCGGACTTCCAACGTAACTCGAGCATCTGCAGGTCTATGCTGATTCATCGCACACGTGTGGTGAATCAGCATTTGTCGGTGCACATCATCCCAATGCTGCCTCGCCTTTAATGCCATTACTTGCATGCAAATGCATATAATCCCATTATGCTTGGATTTGGTGCAATCAGCTTGGCAGGCAATATTTTCTTCCCGACTGCTACATGGACCCGGAATTCCTTACCGTAAGGAACGGCAGCAAATAACATGCGCGATTTTCACGCGATCCGCGACGAAATTTAATATGAAAATGTAAATTTCCCTCTGGCCTTGATTGGACCGGAAAGGACTTCCACCCCCGCATTTTCCATCTTCCCGGAAATGTGATGATTGATGATGATCGAGATAACCCCGAATGAAATTTTTTTCATGCGGCACAATCTTCGTGCTTTGTTCGAAGTCGGAAATGAAAAAAATTAACTGTTTGGTCCGTCGAAGTGGGCTTCCTCGTAGAACGACGACGAATTCCATGAACCCACTGTCATTAGGTCTTTTCTGATGGCTTCGTGCTCGAATGGCTTCTTGAGGGACGACACGAGCTAATGGAAAATTCATGCCGCAAGTAATGGCAGTAAGTCGGCAGGTGACGCAATTCGCGGATGCCGGAGCCGTTGAGGGCCACTGAAGCGGTGGGCCTGAGCGTCGTTTCCGCGAAACGCTTTCAAACAATCCGCCGTTTTTTAGTGGGCGGATTTTCCTGATTTTCCTGAAAGGAAAGGGACCACTTATGGTCCCGTCCTTTCCATCAGTGCGTCTGTGTGTCCGTGTGTCAGTGTGCCACACTTACGTTGTCCGATGATAACTAAAACAATTGGTCCGATCAACGCGAAAATTGGTAAGCAGGTAGATAAGAACGATGTACAGGCTGAGTTCGTTTTGTTGTGAATACGCATCAAAATTGGCATGTTTATTGCGAATATTGGGTCTGAAACTTGCAAACGGAGGGAATACTATTCGCCCTCGAGGATGCAGATCGCAACGCGCATGCGCGTACGACCAACCGCGCATGCGCGTAGGACCCAGGCTTTCTGCGCGGCGCCGCGTCAGTAAGCAGAGCTGTCAGTTCCCTCCCAACCTTCATGGCGGGTGGATGCAAGCACGCGAAGGGCTCCATCATCACTTGGCGGGATAAGTTTGTTTTTACCAAAATTATATATATATTTTTACCAAATGTAATTGAGAAATAAGGTTTTTGATGATCGAAGACTGGAGAGATATATTATTTTGTTCGATTAGGAGCCAAAATGAGGGTTTCCCTAACTGAAAGGAGGGCCACTACTGCACTAGGCATGTTTTTTTTTTTCCCGCGAACTTACTTTCAAGTTCCGGTAAGACGGTATGAACATAATTATTTCGAGGTTGAGAAACGTCATGCACGTCGTGCCACCGAAGCGCAAGAAGATCTGCAATCATCGTTTCGTGCTTCTTTTTTTCTGCCGATTCGTCTCAGCGGTGAAGCCGATGGCAGCGCCAAAATGTCGCGGTAATCAACTAACTTGAATAATAAATAATAATAGCGTGATACTTTTTAATTTTATATTTTATGGTAACTTTTGAGAAGATGAAGCCAACAGGGTCCTTCTAAATGTTTAGATTACTTTAGGCGCGAATTCTGACGTTCTAGAGAACCTGGTGGTACCAGCGGTAGAAGGTTAAGTAGAACTAATTGCTCTTGTGTGATTTTTACCTTTACCCATGCCTCAATGGTTTTAAATTTTCACGTGTGGAAGGAACGGTGTGGAAGGGCTCGAAATTCGGAATTCAACAGAGCCGAATCTCAACAAAATTTAAAAAATCCGAATGTATCATTCCTCATCTTTCTTGGATTCAGCATTACCGAGTGCAATATTGCTACTGTGCAATATTGCCATCCCAGGCAAGAAGCACCTCCTTGCAACGGGAATTCCCTCGCTCAATAACCCGGCTGTATTTATTAATTATTAATTAATGCATTATGTACACGAAACGAAGCCGAACGACGATCAGCGTTCAGAAGACGAAAATGAGGGTGATGACGATTACGCAGATCCCGGAGAGGATCCCGATGGCGGCCCACTGCCTCCTCCCTGCACGGAGAAAACAAATTATATTTAATTACATATATTATATATATATATATATATATATATAATATATGATTTTGCGGGAAACCCTGACCTTGAAGGACGCCTCCCACGGTTTTGATGGTTGTATCCAGGTAAGACTCTGCCCCGTCCCGCCTGTGTTCCCTGCGCATGAAGAAAACCAAATTGTTTTTCCTTAAAAAAAAAAAGAAAAGTAGGATTCGTAGATGATTTTTCACCAAACTCGAAATATTTGTTGTTATGTGATTGGAAAATGTAAGGTTTTTTTATTTTATTTCATTTTGACGATTTGAAAAATATATTTAAAAATCTTCAGAGAGATTTATCTGAGCTCTGCTTCACATTTTAATTATATATATACAGGATGATTGGAAAGTCACATTTTTTCAGGTGCGGTGTATAGTATCAATCGATTTCTCTGCTCCTCCTGAGCAGTTTGGTATGATATTATTATAAATATACTTCGAGGGAAAGGACCGAGTCATAATTAGCGTAACCGTTCTTGAATCTTGGGTCGCTCCACATCAAATCGACCAGATCAATCATCAATCAGATCAATCATCTTCGATTTCGACAAAAATCGGTATGCATGTAGAGGAATTGATTCAAAGAAAACAAATTCCTACGATTTTTTTTTTATCTCGTTCCTATCTCGAGATCTATGCATTTGAGTGTTACCTAGTTTTTTTTTTTACTCCTGTCGCCTATATGGACTGGAATTGCGAGACTATTTTTGCAAGCTAAAACAAGAACTTCCACTAAATCAAACAGTCTGATTAAGTTCAGTGGCCGGCACTTGCCACCGTTGGAGCTCGTGGTTCCGATACTTCATTCCAAGTGTTTTTTTTTATTTTTTAATGACCTTTCTAACGATACCAAATTGCACTGTTCCTTCCTCTGGTCGATTTGGCGTGGAGCGACCAAAGAGTGAAGAAATGCTAATTATGACTCTTTCTCGGTCGTTCCTCCCGAAGTATCTTTCGCCCCGCGCTAATATTATGCCAAACTGCTCAGGAGGAGCAGAGAAATCGATTGATACCATATACGGCACCAAAAAAAAGGGAGTGACTTTTGAATCACCCAGTGTATATACATTGGGATTGTGCTACCTGGGCTTTCAAAGCAACTAAAGAGGTAAAAAAAAAATTTTAACGACTGACTTGGGTACGAAAGTGCGCTCTCCCATATAGGGATGCCTGGGGTCCTGGAAGAGGACGTCTTCACCGGCGTCCAGCGACACGTGCGCTTCCTCCTTCCGGCTCCGGCTCGGGCCCGCACTCGACAGGAGGAGGGAGAAGGGGGGAATGGATGTCTGCTCTCCTTCGTCGGGACGGGGCTGAACGAGGAAGCGGGGAAAAAAGGAGGTCGGGATGAAATTGGAATCGCATTCGTTCTTCCGCTCAGAATTGTGGTCGGATGCCGATGAAGTCGCTCTGACCACATCCGCTGTTGCTTTTACGAAAAGGCTTAAGACGTTTGCCTCAAGTATTTTTTATTATTTCCTAATCTTGTAGAAGGGAACAATTTTCACCAAGAAAGTGTTTTTGGCCTGTTCATCCTATTGTGCAACGAGTCTATAGAAATTCGGTGGCATGAATGAAAAACTATCATAGAACGATAGAACTAAATGTGTTCCTCCGGGCATCTCGCAGCACGGTTTCACCGTCGAAGTGCCTCAGCTCCAGCGAAGCACCTGCCCCGCCCCTGCGATTTCAACGAGGCAGATCCGGAAGCCTCCTCCCCCGACGTTTCGTCGTCTCGTCCGGCGAAGGCGAAGACTCCTTTCGCCGATGCGTGAGTTGTCCCGACTGGCTGAAAATTCGGCCAATAGCGAGGAGCCGACATTTCGTTGATTCTTCTTTGCCGAATTCTTAACTTCGACCCTTGCGACCTTTCGCCAACGTTGACGCAAGGTTGTTTGTGCCGAGGTAGAATATTTTTCGTCCCTTCTCGTAATTTTTCGAGCTAATTTTCAGAGCCAATTTTAAGCCAATTTTAAAGCCAATTTTTACAGCCAATTTTCAAGTCAATTTTTAAAGCCAATTTTTTTAAAATAGGTAATACGCTCCGATTAAAAAATAACTTTCTTCTCCCTGGCAGAGCTCTCTTCATGGCCTTGTTCATGTTTGAGCACGGAAGCTCTTGATTTCGTCGCTGGAGATGGACTAAGATCAAGTGGTACTTGTCGCCCTCCGTTCTTCTTAGTTATATTTATACCATCTCTCGAGGGCCGAAATTGTTGCGCGTCGCTTCGATGGCATCAGCTTCGAGATTGAGTCCGAATTTCGGCCATTTTCCGTGCAAATCCTTCTCGATTGCAATTTTCTCATCAAGATCCGAAGAATCTGCAAATCTCTCTAGAGCGATTTTAACTTTGTTTTCCTTTTTTTCTTGATGAGAAAAAAAATTAAGGGAAAGCATTTGTGCGCCTTTTAGTTATCATCTTGCGATTACCACGACCGATCATTGCCGTGCCTTGTCGAGGTCAAGGTCAGAGCAAGGTCAAGGGCGATTTAATTATCGGAGACGCAACCTGCATTTAACTTTTGAAATTTTTTCTCACATAAAAATTTTTTTTACTTTTTAATTTATTTTCCCAACCTCCTAATACAATTTCAGGGAGGCAATTACATAATTGAGCAATGTCGTTCGCACCAGGGTCGAACCCACCTGGGACCTGGAAGCGCTGTCGTTCGGTTTCTTCAGGTCGAACCGCTCCCGCATGCCGGCGATCTCGGTCCGGACCTCGTCCATGTACCGCCGCCGCTCCTCCAGCGCCGAATCGTCCAACTTCAGCGTCCTCGCGTTCTTCTTGCTCAGTTCTTTTGGGGAGGGGGGGATTAAAATAAAATAAAATAAAATAAAATAAATTAAACTAAAATCAAATTTAAAATTAAGGTGACTGTGTGATGTGAGCGTGATTGACTTGGGTTCCGATTTAAATATTTTTACCCAAAGGCATTTATTGTTGATGAAAATATTTTTCTACGCGGAATGTCGAAAAACATAACAAATTCGTACCATCTAAATAAAAGAGAAATCTTGGAAGCGCCCAAAAATTCGCTGACGAATCACAAAAAAAGCGACATCCACTCACCGTGCGAATCCTCGAGGTCCTTGAGGTCCCACTCGATGGTCCTGAGAATGTTCTGCAGCCCGTTCTTGGTCCAGACGACATCCCCCTTCCGCACGTTGCTCGGGGGCTTCGTGTCTAGGTCGAGGAGCTGGTGGTAGAGGTCCCGCGCGTTCTGGAGGCCCTTGTCCAGCTCCCTGAGGAGGAGGAGGGAGACGCGTGAGGAGGAGGAGGAAGACGCCTGAAGCCTCCTTTTTTATCGGCCTTTTTTTTATCTGGGAATTTTTTGACGTCGTTGATCGCTTCCTCGTGGCTTCTTCCTCGATTTCCATTTCGAAATGTTATGTATTGACTGGACAACAGGTTAATTAATTATTTAATTAATTGGATTTGCGAGCGTGCAAGGCGATTTCCCGCGATGATCGCCGTTGCGATCATCGCCAGTTCTTCCGGCGTTTCATCGGTGTCGGTCGCTCGTCGGCCAAATGAATTCCCAAAAAAAATCCTCAGAAACGTTTTTGAGGATTTCACATCCTTGGTAAATGCAAGAAATGCATCAGGTTGATGCATCTGATGCATCGGCCGGATGCGCGATAAGTGCTCGGAATTTCTGCGATATATCCGTCGGAGACGTCATTCCCCGCGTTCAAGCCGGTTATCGGGTATCGGGTATTAAACAGCTTAATTTATTTTTAACCCAAAATCATCTGGAAGCTCCAAAAGTTAAGCGAAGACGAAGAGGACTCTCTCTTAGGCATTTTGCTTCGTTTTTTCTTCATTTAAGTGCTTTGTTTACCCGGTGATTGTCTCTCGAGATAATCTAGTTCCGAAATGCGCAGCGGATCGCTCGCGGCCGAATCGCAGCTGAAATCTAAACAAAGTACAAATTACATCATTTAGACCTTATAATCGCGAAGTTCGTCTAGGTACCGACGCGTTTCGCTTTGCGATTCGCGCGACGATCAAGGAGAAAGGAAATGACGCGCAGTATTCCCTTTTCGAGCTGATGAATGCGGCGCCACGGACTTAAAGGACGCGACGGGATGAGAGACGATAAAATTACATATTTTATGCCCTCGATAGTTAATCCAGCTCATTGAGTTTGCATTTAAAAAAAATGATTGCAGAGGACTCACCGACGCCCGAGGGAAAACGGATCGTTGCTGCCGATGGACATTTCTTCGCTCGGTCGGCCGAAGCTATATGGGGCGGGGGGCGTGCGGACGCATGCGATAACCGGCCGAGTGCGTCCCCGGCCTAAATCACCGGGGAGAGATATGCCTCGCTTGCTTATCGCGGCCGTCTACGGAGTGATATCTTTTTTTTTTTGTACTTGGTGTTTTCCTGGCCGTGCACGTCTGCCGTTCTTTTCCTGGCCGTGCACGTTTGCCGTTCGAGAGCGGCGGGTGGATGGGGGGATGTTAACACGGGGTCGATTGTGGGTCAATTGCGTTGTGGCCTTCCCCCCGCTCAAATAATTCATTCGTGGTCCCTCCTTCGTTAGACGGGACAGATCTTGCAATAAGTATTCACTTCGCCCCCCCTCCCAAATGGTCGACGAGCGGGGAGGGAGGGAGGTGTGGAGGGAGGTGTGGAGGTGTGGAGGGAGGAGTCGAGGGAGGGAGGGATGCAGGAGGGGAGAGAGGGAGGGTGGGAGGCGGGGGCTGATGAAGCCGAGGAAACGGAAACCTTCCCTTATCCTCTACAAATATGCCGAGGGGTGAGGAGGCGAAAACATTCCGCTCTTTGCTCTGCCCCCGTCTTCATGAGGCTTGGGTTACCTGGTCTTCCTTCGGAATTTCTGGATTTGATGGGATGTCAAGAGGAAGGGTTCCCACTTGCTTCCTGCGACGAACCTCCAAATGATAAAAAAAAAGGCAGGGATGTTGAAATCTGGATGGAGGGCAGAGAAAGGGGTTGGCCTGGTGCCGTCATGCCACAACGCGCACAATTATTCGGGATTTCCTGGCCGTTCCTGGAGCCGTCACCAGGAAGATTTTCACTTTCGATTCCGATTGCCATGCTCTTGCTTTTATCTGGTCTCCGGATTTGACTCCAGCTGACTTATTTTTCTGCAGTCCAATCAAAGCCATTGTGCATGAGATGAAGTCTAGGATTCTTCCGCGCTCAGGGATCCTATTGTTGCAATTGGATTGCCATCATGCCAGCGAGTATGCCTATTACTACCTGTAAGGTTGTACTTGTAAAAAAAAACTTTTACAGTTGACTCATACAACAATTTTCATGAAAATATGTATGGCTTTGAATACTTCATAAACATGTGTTTTTGTGTGTACCATTGTTTACTTCGATTACTTTTCCATAAACGTTTTGTTAGAGTTCAAACGTGTTACCTTACTTCTGGCCCACCCTGTACAGTATCACCAGAAAGTATATTTCATTATCGGTGGACATCGTCAATGACGGTTCCCTCCGCCGCGAGAAATCAGACGACACCCCGCCGTCCCCGCGAAAGGTCCGCCCTCCTTCCAAAAGGTCCGTCCTCCTTGCAAAAAGGTCCGCCCTCCTTCCCACGATATTGGATGAAAGCCGATGCAATGTAGGTTGCGAGTCGCTGCAATCGAGACGCCTGATATCCCCGCCACACGGACTGACATCCGACTGACATCCCACTGACATCCCACTGACATCCCACTGACATCCCACTGACATCCCACTGACATCCCACTGACATCCTGTGCGTACAGTTCAGGCGCCTCAGAGAAGGATAACTTCTGGGATGCTTATGGACCTTTAGAAAATAAATATCTAGGATAACGTGATAACTTCAGGGAGCCGCCCGCCTTGATGTTCAATGGCGATCATGCGCGAATAATTGAACGGCTTCCAACGTGTAATTTAGAAGCGGTATGACAAATAACTAAATCGCCATTACTCTAAATAGTTTTTTTTTCATGTCATGGAAATTCTGAGATTTATATGGATTTCTCATTGGAAGACGTGCAGGGAATTTTTTTTTCATATTTTTTTTCCGCTGCGAATTTGTACTCGCGAGCGCAATTGTTATTCTTGCAGCTTTTCGCGATGAACCTTTTTTTTCTCGAGGTTTTCCGACGAAAACAAGCCCATTTTCATGCTCGGGAAAGGGTGTGTTTATTGGCAACCGGCGAACGCGTGGAGACCCCGAACGAAACACGTGCGAAACTGCAGAATGTATCGAGTGGAACCGTCGAAGAGTCCGACGAAAACAAGCCCATTTTCATGCTCGGGAAAGGGTGTGTTTATTGGCAACCGACGAACGCGTGGAGACCCCGAACGAAACACGTGCGAAACTCCAGAATGTATCGAGTGGAACCGTCGAAGAGAAAAATGTCGCTGGAGGAAATGAATGCGAATCGACGGATTAATTGCGTATTTGAATGAATTATTAATTTCTCGGGGCTGGAAATAGCGAAAAAAAATATCATGTCACGAACGAAAATGTTCAGTTATGCCAGAGTTACCGACGAAACCGTTTGATTCCTGACGTGAAACAAGTCCAACCAGGCCATGCAGTGTGTCAAATATGATCCGTCGACCCGCCAAAGGGCATCGGCTGGTGCAGAGCTCGAAGAGAAGTGAAAGCGAACGGATCGCGTCGATCCGCCGAGGAATGTCGGGGAAGGCACGGAGGTAGGATGGAGGGGGAGGCACGGAGGTAGGATGGAGGCGGAGGCACGGAGGAAGGATGGAGGGGGAGGCACGGAGGAAGGTTCCAAGACGAGTCCAGTTCCAGTCGAATGGCCTCGAGGGATGGCAGGGCCACCGTGCGCATGCCTCCGACATCCACTTGGAAAGATACACGAGAAGGAAGGCGAAGAAGAAAGGAGGTTCGGCGAACAACGAAGAGTGAAAGAGACGATCCAGTGCCGGTCGATCCATCGCCAAGCGTTACGGCAGGACGAAGGCGCAGAGAAAGGATGCCATGTGGCTGCAGTACCAGTCGATCCATCGCCCATCAGGACTCACGAGGAAGAGGCAATTCCTGCCTGCCTCCCCAGTCGGCGCGTGGTCCATCCAGAACTGATTCGGATCGTTCGCATTCGGGATGAAAGTCGCTCCTGTAAATAATAATATTTATGATAATTGCATCCGTGCTGCATCCGTGCTGCACCCTTTCCTTATGCATTCCTGAAATCGTCTGCGTGGGTTTCGACGTTTTTGCCCTGGAGGAATTTAAGTTGTTAGATTTTAGACAAAATTAATTAGATTATTTTTTGCAGGAAATTTGATTCCTTGTGATTGAGTCCTATCAATGCAGCACGAGTCACAAAAACTCCATTTTGCTGCCCTCAAAAGTGCTGCAAAAAAAGAGGAAAATTGCTGTGATCAGCGAGACGCCAATGACCGCCGTCCCAATTCCTGCTGCCTGATTCTCATCCCGAAAAAATCGGGGACGCAGAGTGCGATCGATCCGCGATTGGCTTCGAAATGGGGAACGGAATCGCCCGGATAATATCGATATATCGGGACGACGTCCCTTTGTTTATCCGAGGATTCGCTGAGAAATCGAAACTCGACTTCGGGGAACGTGGACAAGGGTCGAGAACTTGAAAATGCCTTCATTAGGAAACTTTACATGCCATTATTGTCATTATTGCCATTTATGACATTTATATGCCATTATGAAACTTTAGTGATTAACTTCGAGGCTTTTGAATGCGCACAGGCGAATTCCTTACGCCAAAGCCGCTCGGTTTTCACATTTCCCTCGATCAGGAGACGCCTGCGCACAACAACTCGATGCTAATCGAATCCAGATTATTCCACTTAAAGTTTTGCGGCTCATCTGTGAAGAGGAGGCAGGGAGAGAGGAGGCAGGAGCGTTCCTCACCGCTTGGGAACATCCAGGTGCGGTTATCCGCTTGAAGCTCGGCGCCGAGGTGGACGATCGTGTTCCCGGTGTCCCAGAAGACAGGGTCCATCGCGCGCGCCTGGGCCACCACGGCCTGGTGGATGACTGGGCCGTGGTCGTCCGACAGGATGAGCCCTCCCGCCGCGCTGCAGTTCTTCGCCGCGTCCGTCTGGTTCAGTCGCGGGGCCATCGCCCTCGCGTACACGAGGCCGCTGTCCCCGCCCAGGAACTGGAATCCCGGGGGCACCGACGTCAGACCTGTGCCGGCTGGCGCACGACGCAGAGGGTTATCGCATGCTCATTCTGGCATTTTCCAAGCATTTTCGACACATTTCCCTGCTTCAACCAGATGCAAAAAAATCAACTGTTTCGAGACGTTCCGGAAAAAAAAAGCTTGTAACTCTTCAGTGGACGACTTTAACGCTTACGTCTGACGTAACATCTACAGCACCATTCGAAGGGATTCCTTTCCCAGCGATTAATGCAATCCAGGGATTAATGCAATCCAGCGATTTCATCGTCGACGAGATAACTAGCACAAAAAAAACTTTCAGCAGTTCGAGGATTTGTTTCTTATTTTGATTTTATTCCCTCGTCAATCATTTTCCCCAGGGAAAAAAAAAATAATTGCATTTATCGCTTCATTTCGTTGTATGGGAGTTGTATCATGTTGCATTATTTTGTTCTTACCGGCGTAGTAGACCACCACCGGCGCGTCCGTCATGTTCACGGACTTGGTCGAGCTCAGCCCGTTCAGGTTGCAGTCCCATTGCGTCGGCGCGAGAGACTGGACCGAGAATCCGTTGCAATTGTTGAAGTCCCTGTTGATTTTTTTCCATCAGTTCGTTTCAATCCATGGCGAAATTCAGGAAAGGGAAATAATAAAAAAATGTGCCCCGAAAAAAATAGTACACCGATCTAAATTAATGAGTTTCTTAGTAATTAGGAAACGAAACTGCCTAAAAAATATTTAAAAAGCTCAATTAGTGATGAGTGAAAAATCAAATATCAAATATTCAATATCAAATATTCAATACCTTGGAATATCAAGCGGATTTGCATCATGTGATCCATAATTTTTGTCAACTTCTTTTGCCCTGTAAATTTGCTGTACTCAGCATTTCAATTTCATACACTGCCGAGTATTTTTCACGAAATCCTATCATGTAACCTTATCCAACCGAAAATATCGGAATGTACAGGGTGCGGAAGAAATACTGGGACGAATAAAAAATGAAATAATTTTTTTTGGAAATTAAAGTTTTTCTCTTTTTTTTTTAACCAATGAGGATGCGACTTCGCTCACCATCTCCAAAGATGAGCTAATGCGCTAATTGTTCGTTATTTGCGATGATTGTTGTTCTTGATTGAACTGATGAGGTAAACCGTTTGGTCGATTTTCGAGATCGTGCCGTTAAGTGATGAAATCGGGGCAGTTTGGTCTCTTGGTTGTTGGGAAACTCAGAAATATATTTATAAATATATTTATATATATATATAAATAAATATAATGGTGTACTTTTTTCCGGTGCGTCGAAATAGAAAATGATGAGGATCGGCGACAACCGTGAAATCAAATTGTTTTCACTGACTTAGAGATTTCCCACTCTCCCTGCCCCCGAGAAGCGAAGTCAGTTGAGAGGAGAGAGGAGGAGAGAGAGAGAGAGGAGAGGGAGAGAAGAGAGAAAAGACAATAATAATACTCTAAACCTCGTTGTAGGTGTTCTCAATCATGTCTGGTGAGCGCACCTGTTCATTAGGTTTTTTTTTTCTGACTTTGCTCATTCCTAATATTTGGCATTCACTGCTGTCTCCCTACACTCCCCCTGCGACTCCTATCTCCATTTTCAGTCCAATTGCTGCTATTGCTTCCTTTCGCAGCATGCAAGTGTTGCATGTGCGTTACACTGGTTTTTTTAAGGGTAATTTTAGAATTTGTCACACCCCTTGCACCCAATCTTTTTTTTTTTTGGGGGGGGGGGGGGGAAGCAGTCATTTTTTTTTTTTTTGGGGGGGGGGGGGGGAGAAGCAGCGAGGGAGAGGGGATACATAATTACCATCAGATGGCGTTGCCTTTGTTAGCATTGGCTTCGATGCTGTTCAGTTCTGGATCAAAGTCATTGGAAAAAACAATTGAAGATTCAAGAGTGCGATCAGGAAGTTCATTGGTATTTTCATGAGTTCATGAGTCACCTATGCATGCACTCATGAGTCATGAAAAGGGGATTTGGTTGCTTAAGAAATCACGCCCGCAATCCTCGATCATTCGCGATTCCGCATTCGCCCAGAAACCGGAAACGGACGCTGTGCAGTAGTAGGCGCAGTCCTGTCGCGTCGGAGTGACGAGATGACGGAGGGGGTTGTTGATGTGCACCTCCATGCCGGACAGGATGGTGTACATCCGCTGGTCGTAGTAGATCCCGGGCGCCAGCTGGGCCGCGCCTCCCTGGATCCCGAGGAGGAGGCACGCCAGGAGCAGCATCCTCCCCTTCTCCCGCCTCTGTTCCAAAACGAGATGCGAAATGATGGCTTCATTGTCGAACATGCTGTGAACATCGTTGAACATTGTTGAACAGATTCCTTAGGCTTTCTTTTGAGTGGATGTGGACGGGCCGTGGTAGTGTCCATTTAACCCGACCGTTCTTAGAATCAGCGGAATTATGAATGAAATAATTGTCGGAAGGCATTTTTTAAATGCCGAAGAATATTTCCTCAGAGCGGTTTTTTTTTTTTTCTTTGAGAGTTTCCTTCCGGTTCTCTTGCACGTAACTGCTCAACAATGCAGCTTACATTTGGAAAAATCCACTGCATTTCCTCTCGTTGAAACTCGAAGACGAAAGACAAATGTAAGAGTGGGGTAATGCTCGACGACGGGACCCATCTGCCGCGATTTTTGTCCGCCATCTTGGAAAATCTGCGCTGGAATTGTCGACAGAGTGAGATAATATTCTGATACGATGATATTCAGAGATAATATTCCGCATCGGTTTCTCAGAAGCGCAGAGAACCGTCCACGCATCGTCGCGTCCCTTCGAACCGGCGCCTTTCCCTCAATTGGGCCCTCGCTTGGGGATTGGAGGAATTAGGGCGGGAATCAGTCACAGCTCTTACGAGATCCCATGAGATTTTTGAAGCATAAAAATCGTTTAGGATTCTCATAGGAATACAATAGGATTTTTATGTTTCAGAAACCTTACAGGATCCCATAAGATTTTTCCGTAAGGGATCGACAAGAGCGACATCTAGGGACGGCCGAGGGAAAGTCGGGGACGGAGGCGGAGAATCGATCGGACGCCTTAGGGTGCCACGTCAGAGGCTCTCGCCGACGACAGCCACCTCCCTGTCGGAGGTGGCCATCGTCGACGGATGCCGCTGCGAGGCGACGCGATGTCGATCCTCCTGAGAATGGTTCTCGCGGGATCCCTATTTGTTTGCATGGTGAGCGAAATTTCAGCGTCGCGCTGAAAAGTATGGTGCAACTGCGGCAGAGATTTTTTTTTTTCACTCATGGCGAGTGAAAAAAAAAGGCCGAAACGATAACGAAACGGTGCCGGTGTTATTTCCGGATTCTTCGCTAATGAGACTCGTTTCGAGGCCATCGCGTGATCGTGGGCCGACCCCCGAATGGAGGGGAAATCGCGATTTCCTGGAACTTCGATGCAGAGTCGGTCTAAAACTTCCAAAAGTCATACGAAGAGTTTTCAATCCCTTTCCAGACGAAGGAATCATCGAACGACGGAGTCGCAGGATTCCCCTAGAAGTTAAGCAATGTTAAGCAGGGCCCGCACGGCGCAAGGCACCCGATCCCGAGAGAGAATCCCCGACTTGCCTTGTGGAGGAGAGCGAGACTCGGCGACACGGCGGCCATGGTTCACCCCCGTACTGAAGCCAGGGCCGTGCCACGTAGGCGGAGAATAAAAAAAAAAAAGGCAAACGAAAAGCCTCGGCACCTCCATCGAACTTCGCCTCGACGTTGAGGAATGGCCGGGGCCTTCGAATCCATTCATAATGCAGGAAAATCGCATCGATTTCTCCGCGAATATTTCCACCGGACCTTCGCGGATGCTTTCGTTCTCGCTCCCGCCGGCCCTGTAATGGATCTGTAGATCCACTGACCGAAATGACCGAAAAGAAAAGAGCGTCTGAGAAGAGCACCCATCTCGAAAGACAACGAGCGCAGTGCATTTTTCAAAAGCATTTCTGAAACTGCCTCCGAAACAGCGACACCGCGCGCCCCTCCACCCGGAAGAGAAACGCACGGCGAGAGCCTCTCTTTCGAAGCGACCCGATCGACAAACATCCTTCGCAAGCTCCGCCGACTGATTGTCGGGGAGAAAGTAGAGAGCGACTGCAAACGCGGACGCGAAGGTCGCTTCAACCTCCTCCCTCCCCCCCCTCCCCCACCCCCCTTCCTCCCCTCCCCCCCCCCGCAACCGACCGTGTTTCTCCCTCTCTTCAATGATTTAGACGGAGGCCTCGCGAGCAAAGTCGATAAAGTCGACGAAGTGGAAATCGGTTTCGTCCTCAGGGGGGAAGATGGAGAAAGGAGATTTACTCGTTGGAGGAAAAATTTGCTCTTGGAGGTCAATCATAATTCAGGGTCGAAGTTGCTCGAGGTCATAAACGTTATGCCGGTTATAATCGGATGCAACGTGACACGAATGGCGTCTCTCCGGCTTCAGGTTGCCGACAGTGTTAAGATCATCCGGCAATTTTCGCTGTTCCTTGGATGTATCGATAGGCATATAGGGACAGGGGAATGAATTACCCCCTGGTTTGCATAAATGCTTGTTGACATCGGTGAGGATGATGAGGTGAGGATGGTGAGGTGAGGATGGTGAGGTGAGGATGGTGAGGTGAGGATGGTGAGGTGAGGATCGTCCAGGGGTTTTCGTCGATGGGCACCTCCTCCTTCGGGGATTGCACGAGAGCATTTTCTCTAAATGGTGTGGCGTGACATGCCCCATCGTCGCCAGAGCGCATCTCTTCCACGAGATGACTTAACCATCACATCGAAGGGGAGCAGACATTTTCATTTTTTTTATACAAAAATGAAAATGAAAAAAATGTTTTGTTTTTTTTTTATACAAGCACATTAATCGAGAGGTCTTCTGTGGGAGCCATCATTTTACATGATGACTTTTTCCGTTTTAGTGGGGTATTCATTGTTTTGGTCAACGTGGACCTTTCAATGAAAGTACACGAAATGCAGTGTCTAACGAATATTTTAAAGGGCGATTTCGCATATGAATAGCATTCGCTATTGCTTTGCCTTAACCGGTTTAGTAATGCCCTTGAGAGTCCTCGACCTCGAATCGCACCATTGAAGCAATCTCGAATGACGGCATCACCAACATAAGCTTAGGAACTAATAAATCAATGGCCGAGTTATGAAGGCAATGCTTTTTCATTGTGCATTGTGACACCCCCCCCCCCAGGGTGCCCGCTCTAAATTGTGCGACGACACATGAGAGCAGTTTGCCGAGGCCATCGCCTTGGCGAGTCTCCCACAGCTCCGGAACGGAAGGACGATCGCGAAAACCGTGAGGGCGAAGAGAAGAGGCGTGTCCGCGCAAATTTGAAGCAGCGGATGAGGCCGGACCCCATCGAGCCGCGGCCACGCGAGAATTCCTTCACGCCCCCAATTGCACCAATGCCTTCACGCCCCCAATTGCACCAATGCCTTCACGCCCCCAATTGCAACAGATGCGGACGGGGCTGGACGGGATGCCGACGGGCCCAGAGAGCGAACGCACGGCGAAGCGGCTCCGACCCGCAGATGCCTCCTTCCAGGGATGCCCGAGGGGAGGCAACACACATGCCCGCTCGCGGAATTTCTACGGGGGGTTTCCTGGATTTCTCCGGTTTCCGGTCTCGGTCAGCTTGCGCAATGTCCGATCGACATTTTACAACATTAAAACAAGTAGGCCGTGCCCCTCCCATCGAGTAACTTTCCTGAAAATGAACTGGAAAAAAAAATTCCCCACACCTTTCATGGCAATCGCGAATACGGGATGTCGATCCTCAACCGTTAAAAATAAAAAATAAAAAATTTGGGATGAATTTGTCGAAATCGACAGGAAGATTCAGCTCATTCTTGAAAAGTAAATATTTTTGAAAACGCTTTGAGACATCAGGAAACAATTTCTCGCCCAAGTTACTCCAAGAACACGAACGGTAGGCCAATCGAAAGACGTGAGCATCTGAAGCGAGAGAGAGGCGCTGTTCCGTTGTCGCGCCATTCCGCTGCGAAAGTTGGCAATTGGGCGTAGCTCAAATGGCATTTAAACGCGTTTAAATCTCCTGCCGTGAGCTCTGGGGACGGTACGTTACAAAGGGGCGTTACGTTCTTTGCTTCGTTCAAAAGGTCGTGTTATTGTTATTCGTAGTTGTATCATGAAGGAAAAACTGAGAATAACAGCGGAACGCGTCACCGCATGAGAGCGATACAAGTGGCGTCTCTGTCGTGGGGCACGGCGGGCATGGGGCTCGGCGGGCATGGGGCACGGCGGGCATGACGCCGCATGAGTGGGGGTCCGGGGGTGCTCCGTGCCTGGCTACCACTGTTGCCGGATGCCGTCGTGGAGGCTCCACGGATCGATGGCTGACTTACTTCATGCGTTTTAGTTCGCGAGATGGGGCGATATGGGGTGAGATGAGGCGAGATGGGGTTTGCGGTGGTGAATATGGTTAATTGAGACTTTTGCGGAAAAAAGTTTGGCCTTGACTTGATCTAAAGATCCAAAACCGGACTCATGAGCTTGGGCCTAAACGATGCACCATCCGTCAAAAAAAGTTGAACAAAATAATATGCATATGACGTGTTAGTTCTTCAAATAAAAAATATACAGATCTGCCTTTTTCAAGGGTCTTTCTAATTGATCTGCATGCGTGCCATCTGGCATATACACGAGCAAACAAGGTTTTCCCAATAGCACATAGATGGCGAATGCATTTGTTCCAGCGAGTGCGACGGTGTGTGCAATGGGTTTCTCGAGAAAGTGACAGGCGTCATCTCCGTGGAAACGGGAAGGAGCAGCGTCTTGGAGGAGATATCATCAGTTTTCAATTGCTTATTCTTTTTCTTCGGTTTTTTTTTTCCAATAAATAGTATCTCGTGGCGATCGAGAAAACGAACTCCCTGGATTTCCAAAGTGGGAGCGAGGAAATATCACAAGACACCGGAAAAAAAACTAAAATCGTGCCTGGAGGAACTATGCAACTGTGCAACTGTGCAACTGTGCAACTGAAGTTCCTCGTCGATCGTGATTCCAGCGTCTCTTTGTTACTAACGTTACATATATAAGGTAATTTGGTGGAATATGGACCTGCAAAATGAAACCAGGACGTGACGGCCCATCAAGGTCGAATTTGACTTTTGCAGTTTATGAATTATTGAATGATATCTCCTTTACTAAATCCCAGCAGGGCACATGCAAAAAACATCCCATAGATTGCGCCTTTGGATATTTTCTATGTTGGTCCCAAGAGGCCACATTACCCCCCATTGTTGGGGGAATGTTCCCACTTCCCAACACTGTAACGACAACATTGTAACGACAACATTGTAACGACAACACTGTAACGACAAAACTGTATACCGATATTGAATGACTAGCACTTACCAGTAGCATTCAGGAGTCACTATAGAATGAATTCGAAAAAAAAAAACGGTTTCTGTATCCATACTGCTATTAAGAAATATGTGCTTAAGTGGCTCAAGACCCCATTTTTGTTTCAGGGCCAGGAGCTGAAGAATCGCTCGGATGTGACTTTCGAGGCATCGACTTATCCCCGAATTCCTGAAAACTGGATCAACGAGCGGGTGAAAGCATTTCGACGACTGCTAGCACTCTTCGATAGGGTCCTTTCACAATTCCCCAGACTATTTCTTTATTCCGCTATTCATTGGGATGGGCCGTGCTGCCCCGATGGGTATGTTCCCCATGCGACCCTTGCTCAATAAGCTCATTACGTAATTACATTAAGCAGGAAATGAAGTGGTGGGAAAACCGAAGCATGGGAATTACGCTTGGAACCAAAAAATTATGGAGGGCATGAGTTATGAAAGGAAAAATGGAGTTCACTCTTAATTAAACTCTTAATTAAACTCTTAATTAAACTCTTAATTAAACTCTTAATTAAACTCTTAATTAAACTCTTAATTAAACTCTTAATTAAACTCTTAATTAAACTCTTAATTAAACTCTTAATTAAACCCTTAATTAAACTCTTAATTAAACTCTACCTACGGCCTACGATGCAATGCCATTGCGAGTCATATAGGCAAGGCCATCCACTGTCGAAAGCGGCATGCTTACAAGTATCTGACGTTCTGGGCCATAGTCAAGGCAATAGGATCTGAAAGAGGCCAAAAACGGTGGTGACTGGTTGTTACTCGTCTGCGGCATAACATGCAAGGTTTACAAGGCTGGGCCGTTCTAGGCCGTAGACGAGGCCGTGAAGACTTAGGCATGCTTTTCACCTTCTTTTAAATGACTCATCATGGAGATGGAAATTATTACAGACCTGCCCGTGCCTTGAAAATTAATTACATCGTAATGTTAGATTTGATTTAGTCGTGGTTCAGACCATCCGAAAGAAGAGAATTTCTTGTTTGGTTTGAGCCAAATTGCTTCATATCTGAATGTAAACCTTTTGAAAGTTCCGCCCATCAGACGGCGTGTTCTTCTTGCATTTCCATAGCAATTCCAGCCAAAAGCTCGATGTCTACAAGGCTATGACTTTTTCAGCCATAGGCTAGGCAAAAGGACTCGCGAAAGGACTCGAAAACGAGAATCTCTGCGAGCGGTTCTTAAAGTGTTAATTTCCAGGAGACGCTAATATTTCACAGCGTTCTTCTGCAGTGTTTCCGGTCGTTTCGACAGGTCGGGCGTAGACATTCCTGTGGTCATTCCTGTGGTCGTAGTCATTCCACTCTCTCTAAGACAAAAATTTTCCATGTAAATTTCGTTGCCAATCGCTGGTAACCAGTGTTGAGGCTTCTTAATGTAGGAAATCCAAATCCCTACAGCTAGTCAAATAATTTTTCAGTGCATGAATACGTCTGCTTCAAAGTTCTCCAAATGCATTTTTTTTTGGCAGTGGAGACGCACGTATTTTTCGGAATAATTGCCTGCATTTCCTGAAAAATTATTAATAAGACGCGAATATCGAGATATGCCTTACTAGTCAAATAATCGATCCAAAACCAATCTCTTTACTGAATAAATACCAAGGGAGACTCCAACGCATGGTGCATTTCGTCCTTGAATCGCCCTTCACGATGGCGATGGCGTGGACTCGCCTCCTGTTTCCCTTGATCCTCCTGACTCCAGGCGCGACCTCCAAAGGTCAACGCCTGGATTTTTGGGCGGAACCCCCCGACAAGAGATATGCCGTCGTGGCGGTGGAGTCCAAGGAGACGAATTTGGCCCTTTGTTCCTTGAAGTGCGTCCGCAACGGCATCCAGGGTCCCTGCAGGGCATTCAACTTCAGACGATCCGACGGATCGTGTCAGCTGATCGTCGGGGGCGACCGCGAGATGGTACCGGCCGATGGATACCAGGCCTTTTCTATGAGTGAGTCCCTCGGTTTCCTTATGCGATTTAACGCAGTACAACCTTGGGTAAAAGCAATAATTTGCAGGAAATTGTGAAGAAACGGATGGTGAAAGTCTCATGAAAGTATGGTAGTACTGATCAATAGCGATATACCAACATCAGAGGTTCCGCAATAACAATTGTGTTAAAAATGACACCGACTCATCGATTTCTCAATCGCATTATGTACTGGAACATAGTTTCAAGAAACTGCCAATAATTGTTGATTTTAGGAAAAAAAAAGTGAAATTTTCGAAAGTCTTGCTGAAAAAGTTATTTTCAATTTCTCTCCTAAAACTATTTCGCCATATTCGAGTATCTGAATGCGAAGTAATACTCCATGACATGACCTAAATCCGGCCATTTGAGCTTTTTTGGTTTCGTTGAATTGAGATGCTAATGGCGATTGATCCCCAATATAGGTATCTGGTTCAAAGAGATTCACGAAAACTGATGGTTTCACAGATCGTGACAGTTCCATATTTTTCCCTCGTGCCACTTTGCTATGAAGATTGGTTTCGATAGCTTTGCCCGAGATTACGACTTAGGAAAGTGGAGGCAGGTTTCATCATGAGCAATTGGTCGCATTCGCATGGATATGACCGCAGCGCTGGAGGATCCAGTTTCGGAGATGGAACGGAGCAGGAGGCGGTCGCATCACCAGCGCCCGTCTTGCCTAGCGATCACGATCTGCCCTTCAGTGAAGACAACATCGATTGGTTCATAGATCCACCAGCGCCCACTGTTCAGTGCATTTTATTTACAATGTATCAGGGACTTGGCGAGCGCTGAGTCCGGTCTCATTCATCCCAACCAGTCGATTTGGACCAAATAGCTGAATTACGAGCTTATTCACAATTGTGCTGCCATTTATTCGGAGAAAGCGAGCACGCTCCATGATATCGACTTGTTTAATGATATTATTTAATATATACCACGGTGCACACAGCCTTCGTTTCCATTATCTAGAGAGAAATGCGTTCAATGTGTCTATTGCATGATTATCCTCATAGATTTTTTCATCATTTTGGTAACCAGCCTCTATTTGTATTTTCTCTATTGTAATTGTAATTCTAAGTGAAATTCCAGTCCCGTAAAAACTGGAAACTGAGTGAATCCTCATGTATGAAAAAATCCGTAGTTACATTACTGGTGATGAAAACAAGTGAAGCAGAGGACTGAAGTGATGTGGGTGGAAATGGTTGTCAGTTTGGACGAAGGGCATCCCTGCCTTTTATTCGGTTGCAAAATAAATTCCTACTATGAAGCATTTTCTAATAGCCATTTGTTTCAATGATGTATAATCAAATTGAACTCTAGTCTAATGGAAAAACCGAAGAGTTATGTGCAAAAAAAAAAACGCCTCCACAACTGCTTTATATTATGAACATCAAATGTTCAGAAGAAGTGCATAATTTCAGAAAGCTTATGCTACATTTTCCTCCGTAAGTCCGTATCGCTTTCGGGTTCGTTTCAACATGGGAAAGTGTGCTACTTGGAATTTCAGTGTGTGTTAAGGCAGTGTTGCAAGGCTTTGGTAGGAGGTGGAAAGGGAGGTTGCTGGGGTGGATATTTTGAGAGGGGAGTGGCGTGGGTTGCTGGAAGGCTGTAAGTGTGTACGTAAGAAAGGCTGTAAGGCTGTGAGTAAGTTGCTGTAAGTGTGACGGTGGAAGATTGGGACAGGCGCTGTGACGGAATATCGTGTCGTACATGTACCATGTTTATGTGAGAAACTCTGATGGGAATAGACGTGTGTCCAAGTCTTGAATAATACGTCATAGGAAGTGAGTATTGTGATGGAAATCTTCTTCTTCTATATAATAAATTGTAGTTTGGTCCGTGGTTGTGGTGGTGGTCGAGGTCGGTAGTGCATGGCATGCTTCGCCTCTTAAAAGTTAACACCTAGGATGCCCTTCATCTTCTCTCGTCGGCGACTCCCAGGCACCTGAACATTTGTTATGCTGCATTTCACCGTTTTCTTCATTAATGGTTAAACTAGGAAAAGCCTGGATCAGAAATAGAGCTAATGCCCAAAGGTGCCAACAACGCGGCGCTTAGCTTTTCCATAGCTGCTTCAGATCTGCACCTGCAGATCAATCAACGCCAATCTGATGCATGCCACCCAAAACGTTTATTTATCGTTTTCTCTGAAATATCCAGTGTTTGATGACTATTCTCATATTAGCAGCTGTTTATCCTGAGTGCCGACTATCGGAGAAGGGGATGGAGTACGTCGGGAAAACGAACGTGACCGAGACAGGGAAAGCATGCCTCAGGTGGGATTCCGAGCAAGTGACTTCTTCGTACGAATCCCTGGATGCAGGATTCAATGAAGTCTTGTTCTACGAGGAGCACTTCATAAACCAGGACCCATCCTTGCACGAAAACTTCTGCCGAAACCCGACTGGGTTGGCTAGGCCCTGGTGCTTTGTCGACGATGATGGCGTGAAGATGGAGTTTTGCTGGATTCGTCTCTGCGATGATTTCAGTGAGAATTTTCATGAATTCTTCTGGATTCTGGGAAGGTGGGGGGTGGACCTGGATAACAATCAAGCAGGGATTCTAGACATGTATTTAGCTGGAGGAATTATGAATTACGCCTAGTTAATGTGAGATTACTCTTACGGAGGGATAAGTCGTTCACATCAACAATTCAGAATGAACAAAACTCATTCGTTCCCACTCCCCAAATGAAATTGCTGGATAACCATTATGGCGATGTTGTTTAAGATTGACTTGATCAGCAATGAAGTTGATCATTGTGTAATTTCCGCGGAGATTGAAGGGAATATATGTACATGTATTTAGTAGTTGCACATTTACTTATAAAGGTAGATCCTGCATGGCGAAAGGTGCAAGCTTCCTCACGGGATGGTGATCATCACCATCAATTTGTTGAAAATGTCACCTCAACTCTCTACTCAGTGACAATTTTCAGAACTCTGTCACTCAGAAGGCACGTTCCTGCCAAATTTTAATTTTCCATATCTCTCCATTTGACTAAAGTAAAAAAAAAAATTTTTATTTGAAGTTCCCCCCCACCCCACAACAAAAAATATGCGCACCCAAGGCATGAACCTTGAAATGCAAAATTTTTCTGGACTCAGCATCCTAAGAGGATCCAAGGGTGAGTTTGCTGCGAATGTCGGCATTCTAAGCAAATTCTGCACTTCCACCTTGCTTGCTGGTTTTCGTAATGGAGCTTCCTCATTCGTATTGGGTCTGGTGATACCTTTATTATGAACCTTCTTGTACCGCAAACCTTGTGTGCCCCAGACCTTTCATTACCGAGGGCCTGGGTCAAAGTTGACGTTGGGTCAGATGTTGGCAGTCTCGGCACACCTGTTGGTATTGATGGCACAACCCTGTCGGGAATCTCAGCACACTTATGTATTACTCTCGTTTACAATGGATGCAAAAATGAATGCAACGACCTGATAAGAACAATACCTAATGTCGAAGAACGGAATGTGCAAAAGCTTAGCAAAAAGCACAACATTTCGCAGGATTTTCGGGGTGCGCTTAGAGAAAGTGGCCACTACGAGAAAACTACAACAGCAAATATGGTCATTCCAAAGACATGTTAACAACATTATCTGAGAATATTTATCTACCATTGCTTAGCAGGTTTTTAGCTTAGCTCAGCTTAGCTCATTTTTTTATACTCTCTAAAATATGGTTAGAATTAGCGTCCGAATTTCATTCCAGGGTAGCCACGACTCGACTGAAACAATATGTACTCTTTCTTCAATTTCTCTCTTTTTCTTCCCTTACCTCATTTAGGAAACGTGTTATGTGCACGTTGATATTGTTTTGCAAAAGCTTTCTGCACACTATTTCAAACTAATCCTAGTATTTTTTAAATATGATTTCATGGAGCCACATTAAATGGTTCATCATCAACTTTAGTTACAATTATAAGAAATATACGTAAAAGGCATACGTATTCTGAAACTAATGATCCGGGCCTGCGTTTCCACGTGCAGCCGTGCCAGAATGCAAGTTGAGCCAGAAGGGAGGGGAGTACGTAGGCGTGAAGGACAAGACCATCTCCGGCTTCGATTGCATTCCGTGGCTGGATGCAGACAGCAGCGGTGGGGACAGGATCCGTGGGGACCGCGAAGGATCATTCTCGGATGAACTCACTGACAGCCACAATTTTTGTCGGAACCCGAACGGGAACCCGGGTGGTCCTTGGTGCAACATCGAAGTTCCGCAAAAGCCCAACCTGAAATGGGAGTATTGCGATGTATCCTTCTGCGATTTGGGCGCTTCCCGGAGAACCGGCGAGTCTGGAGACCAATACGAGTCAAGTGAGTTATCAAAATCCAGACTAATTCGAATAAAAACTCATTACCAGCGAGTTTGTTTGCTTGTGGGCAAAGAATCTCGTTTTGGACGCGCCTTCGGCGCTGTATGCTCTAATGACATGTCTAATGTAGTTGAATAATTTGTTTTGATGCTCACATCTATAATGTGGTACAACTCCTTTTGATTACTATTTCAACCAACTTCTGAACCCTCTTGAGCATCGTTAGCTCACTTTTATTGTCTGGACTTTAAAATGGAATGCAATATTTTAAATGGCATCTCACCAGCTCCGCCGCATGCAACTAAAGAATAGCACGCAATTCCTATGCCCATGGTGTGTCGGATGAAAACTTTGTTCCAGTTACATTTCGCTACCGTCGATTACGCGTGGAAGGAAAACTTTAATTCTTCAATTGCCGGCAATTTCCCGCCAAAAAAAAGAATCGGTCGCAAGACCGAGCCCTGAGGGACACCACTCGCCACACCGTCAACACTTCTTCATGATTGCAGGACCCATTATACCCCATAGCCATTTAGTGGTAGTTTGCATGGACGCATTAATATTACCCTTCCGTGCATGAATTTTTACTGAAAAATGAAAATATGCTTTTTTTGGGTTTAACGTTGAATAAGGTACTCTCTCGTCGTAATCGCATGTTCCACCGTTAGAAGGTGACACTGCATTGATTATGCTCCTGGAATGGACTGTACGCACCAAAAGATCCCAGGTCCTTGTACCGTAGCTAAAAAGCTATCATCATAGCGAAAATTGTAATCCACTACAGTGGACATCATGCACAAAAGTAGTAAGTCACTTGCGTGGTGAGCATTTTCACATTCTCTCCTTAGAAAAATCACTATTTAAAAATTTGGCAGAGGAGAGATGAATCAGGCTGAATAAGTCCGACTAAATTATTCCAGGAAATTTGTGGCCGCAGATGACATCACGCTGGCCACACAAGGCACGGTCCTCAATAACACTGAAAGAACACTCACAACTGACATCCAGAAGATGGAAAAACACTTCCACCGTTGGTGCCTTCGGCCCAATTCAAAGAAGACCACGGTGTCGGCATTCCATCGAGACACTCACCAGACCAAACGACTCTGAGAGCGTTCTTTTGTGGTTTCGAGGTAACCCGCAGCACCACAGCCAGCTACCTGGGTGCCACCTTGGACCGGACGCTATCGCGCCGAGTCCACCTACAGAACCTCGGCAAGAAACTGAAGAACCGGGTCAACCTCATCCTGAAACTCGCCGTGTCCCATCTAGGGGGGCAGATGCGCAAACACTCCGCATCGCGTCCCTCGCGTTATTGTACTCAACCGCATAGTAATGCTGCCCAGCATGGCTTCCGAGAGCACACTTGAACCCTGATTTCCCGTTTTACATAATTCAGTCTTCTTTTCTCGAATTTTTTTCTAGTACGAGTCTGATTTGAGTATTTACTCAGATCTGATATGGTTTCCTGGCGAAAGAAGAGGTGATCCAGAAGTTCTTCATACGTTCCCATGGAGTTTGTTTTGGTCCCCTTCATTACATTTCCCGGTTCACCAGTATCTCTTTGATTTTTCCCCTTTCAGTTAAAAGAAGGCCTCTGTTTAGGCCTTCGTTTCTCTATTTGTGTGCACGCTGGAGATGCAGAGCCATCTTTTCTAAAGCAAATTCCGTGGCTCCCAACTCTTCTTTGAGGAAAACTGCCTGTAATGACCTCTTCCTTTCTTCACGCCGTCAGGCATTACTTTCTTGCTGGACCTTCGATAGCCTTTTTGAGGCTCTGTTCCATCACTGCCTGGGACTGTGTTTCTTCCCCTTCGGCCATGCATCTCAGCCCGAACTCGCTTCTTCCTGCACTTTTCCTCCCGCAACGTCCGTCTCGTTATCGTCCATATCTAGTGAACCCTGTTCTGCGTAATTTTGTACTCGAATCGCTTTCCGCGCTTTGAATGACATTTACATTGAAGAGTTGTCGTTAGGTATCCCTTGGCTTCATTTGCCAAATTATTTAGCTTACATGGGTCGCTTCCTTTGGCACGCTACTGTTACATATGCCCAAACATGTGACAGATAAAAGAGCAGGGTTTCAGTTCGTTCGAGACTCCAAACTAGTCCCCGATGAAGAACGCGGAGGTGGTAGGCACACGTGGCGTCCAGTCCGTATATGGTTACAATGGTTAAAATGAAAATTTATTCAAGAGACATGAAACTTTTGTGAGATCGACTTCTGGAGCTGTCAACTGGGACGTGGCGAGAATGTACGAAGGGTGTCTAAAAAGGATTTTGACTTTTCCCATTTACGCCCCTTGGTCTTACCTGACATGTTTGCAAATTTGCATGCTCACGGTTATGGTTCACAGGCCGCCCCATCTAGTTCATCAAAATCCATCTAGACGGTTCGCGAGTAGAGGAAGAATTTTCAGTGACAGCAAAAGAGACCAGGAGAAGGACGGGAGGAAGACGGACAGACGCATGTGCAGACGCAGAGAAACGCAGAGACTTGCTATTTCCTACTCGTCTTCGGAAATTGTTAAAGTGCTTGGGTATGAAGTCCAAATGGAATCTCCATTTGATTACCTCCAAGATGTTGACATAATAAGTTATCCGAGGAATATGAATGTAAATCGTCTTGCGCTTGTACTCAGTGGGCAAGGCGAGAGGCACATTGTTGTCTCCTTCCATTATGACTGAATACAATTGAGAACGTTATGTGTACTTTTATACACGCATGTACAATTACATAAATTCCTCACCAAACATAATATGATCACAAACGCTCGTGCCAGTCAATCAGAAGTCAGAAATGGCATTGGTCCTTTCCAAAGGGGTACCCCGTTCTGCATATTGGAATATACCCTGTACCTAGACATTGGTTCGATAGACAACTTTCCTCACTAATTGCGAGCACTAATTATGAGCATTCAGAATCTAATCGAATACTTCGCAATTCCACCTTGGGAAATTCGGTAAGGCATTAAGTGCTTGAATGCTCCACTGCCTCAACATCCACTAACACCACCGAGTGAATCACCTAAATTTTGCAATACCCTGCATTAATGTATGTCAAGAAGATTGGTTGAAGGTACTTTTCATTCTGGGGAGCATGGTGTCTTCTGCTACCAATTCGCAGGCATAAATGGGTCAAATAATTCATTGCCCTTTTATCTTAGATGGAGGAGTAATGCAGCCCAATTACGAAACATGTCGGATTACGGAGATGGGGAAGGAATACTACGGTGAAGAGAAGACGACGGAAACAGGGAAGGATTGCGAAATCTGGCCCAATAAGATATACGACGATTTTCCAATATCACTTTTCTCCCACCTACCATTCCAAGATCGCCAGTTCCCTGGACCGACTCAGAAGATCCGGTTTTTTTTCGGCCGATGGACGGAGTTAGCTGAACCAAACAAACAAATCTCAGAAGAAAATAACTCCTGCCGGAATTATGGTTCTATGGAGCGACCCTGGTGCATCGTTTCCCTTGCGAACCTTACCTGGGAGTACTGTGACATCCCGCTCTGCCATGGTCCCAAAGGTCTGAACTCCTTTCGTCAGAGAGCGTCTTAAATCTCAGAACTGCGAATGAGCAAGGAATTATCCCTGGGTTGATGAAGGGATTGAATAAACTTTGATATGCTTAGGTTTTCTGCCAGCTGTTAACTGTTTTTCTTTTCATTGTCATTTTCCGTTTGACGCTTTTTTGCACCATCCGATTCGTCCCTGATTCAGCCCTTCTCTGTGAGATTCATATTCTCACCCACTCTTCGAAACTTCGTGGTTGAAAAAAATTAAGTACTTTGATTTCAACCAATCCTATCATTTAGGCTTTCATTTTCTTATAATACTTTTCTTGCATTAATGATTTTTCTCAACCCTTAGAGTGGCGTTCAATAAGTGTTTTCTTTAAATGAGTATTATCATTCACTAATAAGATAATTTAATCAGGAGAACTTCGGTTTTGAAGCAAGTCCCAAGGTCCGAATGTTAAAAATACAGCTTGCGCGATCCTGACCGCTAGCTAAGCCGAGCGACAAATGTTTGATTGTGTGTGTGACAGCTCTACAGGTCAAACGCTTCAAGATATGAGCTGGAGATTTCGACAAAAATCTTCCTTGTCATCCGAGAATGTGCTTTTGCGAAGTGAAATTTGCAAATTGGCCTCACGAAAGGGAGGGAATGCAAAGGAAATCGGGGATTCGCTCTTGTCCCCCCCCCCATCTGTCGGATGGACCAGGTCCTGGTCCATCCGACAGACGAGAGTTGCACGGGAACTCGTCTCCAGGAGACGAGAGTTCCTGTGGTTACTCAAAATGCAACGCCGTCATCGCTCACTGCAGTGCCTGCCTGCTAATGTGAATCCGGGGATTTCACACGTTCCTGACGAAATACGGGACGATTCGTCAGTTCGTCGCCACTTGTGGTCACACGGACTCGGCAAAGATGTACATGGCCTGTCTCTCCTCTTGGAGGTCCATCTCTCAAAATGCATACTTTCACAATTGCAGATTTACGTGCTCTCTTGTCACCGCCTTGATTACTTTCTTGTCATTTCAGCCCTCCTAAGACTGGGACTCCCCCACATTTGGTTCCTTCATTTCTAGTAGTCGCGGCCTTGCGTCTGTGCGCCGACACAGGTGTATAGCAAAATAGAGTGGGAAACACTTTCGCTAGGACTGGAAGTGCACTCCACATGGTATATTTCTTTCAAACTGCAACCCTATGTAGAATATGTAATTTTTTTGCTTAATGGGCATCATGTTCTGACGTGCTGAGGTGTCACGTGGAATAATAGGTGAAATGAGCTTTGACAAATGACATCAGAGCCCTCATTGTTGCATTACCGTCTCGTTTCGGGGATATCACTAAATTCAATACCAAAAGAGTTTACTAAATTCTTTTGTTTACCTTTCGTGACAAAATACTCCATTCACACCACCGGATGCCAAGGATAATCACGAGTCAAATGAAACCTGCGTGCTTTAGACAGTGCCAATTAGCATATGAACGCTCTCGCGGACATTCACTTTCTGCTCAAAGAGGTTTTTGGACGTCTAATATAGATGGATGAGCACCTTCTTTGCGCTCAGCTAAGGTGCCCCTTGATCACCAAACACCCCGTTTTTGAATGATATTCGTTGAACGTTAGAGATATATTTTCTGCAATCATATCCATGGTATCCATCGGACAATGTATTAAACCAAAGGATCGCACAACCGGAGTTAGATGACGTCAAAGAAGTCACTATATCTGGTCCATTCCTGACACAGATGGAATTCGTCACGAATACCTTCCACACGGAAAGTAGCTAACTCCAGTTTCACCCCCCTTTCACCCTGGGAAAGGAGCAAATTTACTCCATCACCCAGGAGTAAAATTGCTCTCCTCCTCCGTGAGTAAAAACGCTCCCATCAGAAAGTGATAGGGATGTCAAGCAAATACGAAAATTTACATATATACTGTGTGTCGCTTTCGCTCTCATACAGGCGTAGACCTACCTCTGACTGTACTGATTACAGCACATGACAGAGGGTGGACCCCCTCTTAAAAGTTCCGTGAAGTGTCCTGGATATCAGTCCCTTATTACATCAATTAATTGAGATATTTGATTGACTGAAGTTCACAGACAGTCTTTGTATCATATATTTTATTAATTTTCTAAGAGTGTAAGGCTCGAAGGACAAAGGGAGGCTGGTGCAATTCTAAGGTGACTTCATAGGTAAATGAATAAAGCGGGAAGGATTATTAGGCATATCCTCGTACCTATAAGGGATTTCAGTGCAGTGCGTGTCTGACTCTGAGTATGAGATAATTGCAGATTTTATTAATGTTTTCGTTGTATGATTGTAGTAACATTCGAATCTCCACCAGAATACTTCAAAAAAGGATGATACTTCTTACAATAGGACTAAGTTGGTTTATGATGGCCTCTGACTCCTGCCACGTATGGCTTTACTCGGACTGAATGCAATTTAAGTGATGAAAAGAATATATTCAAGACGTTTTTTGCAAATTGGATGAATCCTTAAAAAGAAAGTTCATTTAACCCTTTTCTTGGTATTATCCAATTCACGTCCTTGATGAATTCACACCGTTCCGTGAACGCATAATTAGAAGTAGTTTTTATTCGCTCTATATTTCGGACATTTAAGTAGTCAATAGAACTAATCCAACGATGTTCATCGAATGCTGGCCATACCTTAAATTAAAAGTTCATAGAACCTTTTCGGCCTTTACTTGGGTGGTTGTCTGAAGATCATGGTGACTCCTTCCACTACTACAAAGCACTTCGTTTCCTCTAGTTTGTAGCAAGTTTACCTGCCAATAATATTAAAACGTCACCATCACACTACACTATCGACGTACTCTTGCTCTTTCTCTATGCATCATTCAATAATCGAAATCTAGCAATGATTGCATTTTGAATAATCATATTTGGGTGAGGTTTGGAGCACCGGAAATTTTCACCTTCCAGATTATTCCAATATTCATGGTACTTCCTTGCCAGCTCAGACTTGAGAGTTGGTAATAACAAGACACATTTGGGTGAGATCGGATCAAAAGAGAAGGCGAGGGGAGAAGGGGGGGTATCACCTCATTATGTCCATCAATAGTGATTGAAAATTTTCCGACCTGTGACTTAGACTATTGCCAGGCAAAAGCTTTAACCCAGGGATCGGGGACCATTTTGGCCATGTGAGCCATATTATAATTGAGCTAAGTGCTTGTGAGTGAAAAATTTATGAATGTCAGAATTTAACTGAAGTTGGCAAGAGACAAATGCATTCTTTGCATTTTTTCATGAGAAAAATTAGGAACAACCATGATTTTAAGCCATGATTCAAAAAAGCCCAACTTTTCGGCTCGTGAGCCAAACTTGACTCATGAGGCATAGGTTCCTGAGCCCAGCTTTATTTAAACCATTGGACGCAGATTTTGCCTGTCTCTCCCTAGCAACCTTTAAACTTCTCATAATATTATTCTAACCTAATCTTCCACATTCAGTGGTTGGGGCGGTGAATGATCTCAGCTGCCCATTGAGATAGCCGCACTATTAGCTGCATCATCCACCTGAATGCATGCAATCTCTTCAATTTTGGCCTCGAGAATAGAGCACAGTTCCTTGGGATCGTACAGTAGGGAGAATTCCTTGAAGTATATTCGCTTTCCAGGCTCTCCGTTCCTTTCCAGGAGCGTGCAGCCTACAGGCAAATAATAATTATTTAAGGGGCAGAGTCCTGGCAAAAATTCAAGAAGTCACAACGCGAAGACACCGGTATACCTTCAAGGATATTGCAATGTATCAGGTCTCTTGATATCATCATGTAAACTATACCAGCTACTCTCTTGTAGCAGAGTTTGCTAGATGAAACTGTTCAATAAAAATGTTCCTAGATGATATACGCAGAGAAAGGTTGAAGTTATGGCTATCAATTAGATTAATTTCATCGATAAATTACTAGATTAAAGTATTAATCGCGATTTAAAATATTAGTGGAAATCAATCTTATTTTGATCTATCCCCGAAACCCCTTGAATGCCTTTTTTCATTAATAGTTTTATATTCTTTAATCGATTATTCGGTCAATCGAATTATTCAAATCGACAGCACTAGAAGAAATATCAATTAAAGCATACATTCCATTATTTATGAAAAATCAACTTATTTTCCTTTAGAGTCAGTGATTACCGACAGCATGAAGCAATACTTTTTGAACGCAAGTCGTACATATTCAGCATTACATTCATTGCCGTTCGTTCATTGACTGAACAGCTAAATTTCACCGTTATGGTGCTATATATATTCTCTATTTAGTCTTTGAATGGTGTCTTGATTGCACAGAGCCTGCGGAATGTATGCAAACGACGAATGGACGAGAGTACTTAGGGTTGAAGAATGTGACACGGTCGGGGAAGAAGTGCCAGCCCTGGCTGAGCCAAATGCCAAACGTACATTCGACCATCCTCCGCCTGCCGATGTTCCCCGATCCTGTCGTGGACAGTCGTCACAACTACTGTCGGAATCCCGATCTCGATAAGAAGGGACCTTGGTGTTACAACGGAGAGGGTACCAATCCAGAATGGGAATATTGTGATATTGAGTTTTGCGAGGGGATGAATTGAAGGGTTTGTGTCGTACTTCTGAATGTGGCAACTATATGTGTTTGTCGGGAAGAATCGTATTTCCTGCACGCTATTACTACTATATTCTGCATACGCCCGCTCTCCCACACTACATGTCTCGGCTCCTCCTGGTCATTCTCCTACCAGCAATATTGGGAACACTCCTCTCTTTTCCAATTTGTTGTGCGTGTCCTGTCCATTTTCAGGGGATTTTGAAATTTTGGCCTTTCAACGGACTTTCGCAATGAATTGAATGAGGCTACATTCCATCCCAAGGTGTGCAAATATGGAATTCAGAAATTTTGCCGAAATCTTAGTTACGTGTGATCACTATCATAAACTGTGTAAAACTAGAAAAGAAACTAACGTTGGTTACCTTCGCACCAACTTTTAAGCCAAGTTGTCATAGTAGATGTGCATGTGCTCCTGATGATTTGAAGTTTCAATGGCTCAATTCATCGCTGCAATGGCCATTTCCTCAACTTATTATTTCACACCTTTTCTTCGGATTGTTTCATGAACCTTGTTCATTTGCATCCGGGAAAGAAACCGTTAAGCTGGCCCTATTAAACGTTTCAGGAACAGCCTTCATACTTGCAAAATACATGGTCTGTCATAAGTATTCATTACCTTTTGAATGTTTCTCTTGACGTACACCTAAAGACGGCAAAGAAAACATGCAGTGCATTTTTATGTGAGTGTCCCTTTGCTTATCAACCTTTACAGTTTAACATGAATACTCTTCCGCCTACATATGGTTATCGTGTAAAAAAATTGCTTGACTAACCATGACACTGAATGATGAGAGATACAAATAACTCCCATAAAATTCTGACCGTAACCAAACGTATTACTGTATGCTGTTTGCTGGAGCAAGTGATCATGAACGAAATCCAAAGACCTGCTCCAGTTAAAGTTCGTGCTTAAAGAGGAGTGAAACCATTTCCTTTAAGTGCAATCGACTGAGACACTCGAAGATTTTAGGTTAGCATTACGGGATTTCTAACTAGTCGAGGCGTGGCGTTGCTCCCTCCTCCTCCGTCTTTCCAGAATGAAGTGACTCATGAAAGGCATCCTCTTCAACGACACAAACGCTCAGCAGTCAGGTGGGACCAATGTGTTCCCAATAATGGGTTACGACCAGTGTTCCAAGCTATTTACGACAGATGGGAGAAGTGCATCACGAGTCAAGGTTACTATTTCCAAAGGGATCGATCTGAAACATACATTCTGTGTAAAGGTTGCTCATAAGAAGGCCATTCTAGATAATATTTGATAGGCCCGCGTTTATCTACTATGAATGCGTGAGCGTTATTCCCCTTTGTAAGGAAAGAAAGATGGCATTTCTTTGATGTTATTGATCCCGCTTTCATGTACTTTTTCACTTGATTTGGGATCTCGTCAATTCTTTTGGTGTGCTATTGAATCTGGGCGTGCTACCTTTGCAATAATGAAATATATTCGGTCTGTTTAGAAGCCACATGCTATATATATATATATATATATATATATAGTATATTGTATATACTATATATATATATATATATAGTATATAGTATATATATATAGATATATATATATATCACTTGAATCGGAGCCCCTTCGATCACCAAGTTAAGCAGCGTCAGCATGGGCACAACCTGGATGGGTGACATGGGAAGATCGAGCTGCTTGCCTAAGGCGGTGCTGGGCACTTCACCGATAAAGGGCGGATGAGACTCTCGACACTCCAACGGCCGTGGTGCCCCATGGATCAGAGGATCACCATGTGCACCCAGTGCAAAAGGTGGATGTGGCGCATGCGCCTCACCTGCCAGGTCCTCACACTCATGGAAACATGATGATGCCACAACTCAGAAAAATTCATACTGGCTCGGCCGTCGCCCAGGATAAAAAGGGCCGCGCTGGCTGCAGGTCTCCCGGTGCAGTCAGTGAAAAGTTGGCGTCCGGAGG